ACACAACACTAAACAAGACAAGACAAGACATTTATTAAGGACAACTTTTTGGCACGCAGTTAGCAAGAAAACGCTAGTCGAGGCGTGCCAAATTAATTCTATTACAAATCAGATATTATATTATAATAAGTAAAAACTGCAAAGAAAAAGAAAAGAAGAAATATGTGTAATGAATTCAAAAGCGAGAAAGACAAATCTGTTTAATGCAACCTGTGAAAGAAGCTAAGGTTTAGGATTTCGCGATTTTATTTCTCGGGTTATCATGGTTGTACCAAGGTAATCATCTTTGTCTTTCAAATATTTCGAAGAGCGCACTGATTAATTTTCGTTTGAACACTTTTTTTGACATATCTCTCATTCTACCTGGTATCTCATTCCATACTTTAGCGCCAAAAATTGGGACGGCTTGTCTTAGTTTTTTAACATTAAATTTTTTGATGTACATATTATTTTTAGAGGATGATCTTGTGTTATATTCATGAATAGATGATGTCTTGCGAGAACAAGTTAACGATTTTTGAGGGTGCAGAATTAGTATGAATATCATGCATTAAGTAAGATACGGACTTAAAATAGAGAAAGCTAATTGGCAGGATATTTGCATCAATAAAAAGAGGAATGACATGAACTTTCCTGTTGGCAAAAAATATGAAACGGGTAACTTTTTTCTGAAGAAGTAAGATTTTTGTTAAATGTGTTTTTGACGCCTGCTCCCAAACTATCAAACCGTAAGATAAATAAGGCGAGATTAACGCACGGTAAATATTTAGCAAGGTATGTTGAGGAACAAAGTGCCTCAATTTAGCGATTAAACCAACCGTTTTACTTAATTTAGTAGCTACATTGTCAATGAGTATTTTCCACGAAAGATTTTTGTCAGTCAGAATGCCTAAATATTTAACATAATTTTTCATTTCTAAACTAACGTTTTGATTGGTATCAGTATCGAAGATCTTAAGTTGGGGAAGGTAGTCAACAGACTTCTGGTTAGGATGAAAAATAACAAAATTGACGGTTTTTTTGGTATTAAGGGTTAATTTATTTGAGACCAGCCAAAGATACAACTTTTTAAGCTCAGAATTTACTGTTACCTCAAGTGACCTTAGGTTCTTGTTGGCATACAGTATGTTAGTATCATCAGCAAAGAGGTAGAAATTAAAAGTATAAGAGCAAGTATGAATATCGTTAATATATAAGAGGAAAAGATACTGACCTAGTACAGACCCCTGTGGAACACCATTAGATATTAGAGCTGCATCAGATAATTGTTTGTTTATTTCTAGTGTTTGTGATCTGTTGCACAAAAAGGATTCAAACCAGTTATTAATTTTTCCACGAAAACCATGATGATTTAACTTATTTAAAAGATTTTGATGGTTAATATCATAGGTGACGAATTACTCCTTAATTTTGGCGCGAAATTTCAGCGATAATTTGTAATTTCAAATGTGAAATTAAGAAATTGCCATGGCAACCTTCCGTACGTCTCAGTGTCAAGATGGCGACGAAGTTTTAAAATGTCATGAATGATGCCAGGGCATATAAAGACACTTTAGAAAACCTGAACACACCAAAGAGCACATAAAGAAGGATCCTAACAGGTATTTTGTCGAAAAATTCTAAACTTGAGTCAAATTTAAGCTCTAAACGTTCGAGAAAGTGGAGTTCTCGATCGATACGATCCAGGATAAACATGTCAAAAATCCAAGATTGCTAACGTAATTCGTCACCCATGATATTAATAGGTAATCAAATGGTATACTCGTGAAATTAGGGAATAATTTCACTTGCGTTTTGTCCAAATCCTAATTATTAGGATTTGGACGAAACGCGCGTGAAATTATTCCCTTATTTCACTCGTCACCGTTTGATTACACATACTAACTGTATCGAAGGCTTTCTTTAAGTCAATAAAAATTCCACAGGTAAATAAACGTTTATCCATATTAGACTGAATTGCAGTAACTATATCTACAATGGCGTGTTCAGTAGAAAACCCTTCTCTAAACCCATACTGAGCTGAAAACAAAATATTCTTATCATTAATAAAATGCATCATTCTTTTTTACATAACCTTTTCAAAGATTCTGTCAAATACAGATAAGAGAGAAATCGGTCTATAGTTATTTGCATCTGTCTCATCCTCAGTTTTAAACACAGGTATGACTTTAGCCTTTTTGAGTTTTGAAGGGTAGCTCCCAGATGTGACCGACAAATTGACGATTTTAGGTAAAATGTCGCTGATAATAGTACTTGAATATTTCAAGAGTGTCGTCGGGCAGGAGTATAAACCATGAGATTTATTGTTGGGTAAAGCCAATATTTCTAATTCAACTTCCCTGGCAGTTACAGGCTTAAACATGAAAGAACTCGCTGGAGATTTCGTTCTTTTGAGAAAGTCGCGATGATCACCAGAAACAGACGCAAAAATGATCATTTAGTATATTAGCAATTCTTTGTGGATTGCGATTAATCTTATTCCAAGAGAGGATAAAGGGGACAGAGAAGGCATCCCCCATACACACCCTATTCCATAGGTAATTCGTCTCGAGTTATTTTTAAGACCACAGATCCCGAGGGGGATTAGACAACAGCCAATCACATAGCGCGAATGTGCTCCGCGTGGATGAACCACGCTCAGAGCCACGCGTCTTTCACGAATTGACGCTAAAAAAATGGCGGAAGAAGCGGAGAGCGATATTGCTAGTCGTTTTGTCGACGAAAACGACTAAAGAGAGATTTCTGCTAAAGCTGTGTCAGCGAAACAGAAACTAAAAAAGAATCGCCCTTCCTCTCTTGTATAGAGCTAACAGTAGAGCAGGGAAATCCTAAACACACTGAATATTTTCTCAGGATCATTTATAATTTACAATTTGAAGAGAGCAATTTCTGGTTTGATATTTATTCTTTTAGTAGTGTTTTATTATTCAACAAAATAACACTTGGCGTCCTACTTGCTTTATTGTACAAACGACCGGTTTCAATAGACCGGCGAAATTTCTCATTTTATTAAAGCACTGAGGTTACAACAACTTCGAGTTAAACTGATTTCACGAGTTGTCAAAGAGTCCAGCAATTCCCTTTTCCCAGGTGAGCGACGACTTATTTCGCTTCAATATTCAGAAATGCTCTCGATCTCTTTACGCTTTCATTGCCTTTCGCCCGACATGTTTTGCACGGCGTTTAGTCATGCGAAACCTCCACTAAACATCCACGCTGCACGCGAGGTAGCTTTTTGATCCCGATTTTCAAAATAACTCGACTCGAATTACCTGTGGAATAGGGTGTGTATGGGGGATGCCTTCTCTGTCCCCTTTATCCTCTCTTGTCTTATTCCCGTTATTGAAGTCTTTTATCGCATTTACATTTCGGGATTTTTTATTTTTACGATTCAATAGATTATTTAACGCTTCCCAGGTCCTTTTCATATTCTGTAAATTTTTTTCAAAATAGTCATGGAAGTAACCTCTTTTACTAATTCGAATAAGATGATTAATTTTATTTCGATAAAACTTATATTTAGTTTGATCACCAGAAGCAAAAAGTTTATTTTTAGTCTTAATTGAAGCTCTTATCCCTTGTAGTATCCATGGTTTTGAAAAACGCTTCAATTGGCATCGGGAAATCTGTTTAATTAGCACATGCTTGTTAATTACTTTATTATATTTACTATAAAAAGAGGAGAATATGTAATCAAATGTTATTACTACCATTTGCTATAATCGACTGCCAATCAATTTGATTAAGATCCTGCGTAAAAGAATCCCTACCGAAATTTGTGAAGTCGCGCATTTTTCTCTTAGCGGGTTTAATTCTGTCTCTTGCTGATCTGAATATACAAAACTGCGAGAAATGGTCACTTACATCAGAAATTATGTTGTCACTCACTGATACACAATCAGGATTATTTACAAATATATTATCAATTAGAGAAGCCGAGTTGCCGCGAAACTCGCGAAGGTTTGTCAATGGTAGGAATGAAATAACAGCTATGAAGAGATAATAGAAAGTTGTGACTAAATTCCGATACCTCACTTTTCAAAAGACAAAGATTGAAGTTACCCACGACGCAAACATTTTTCCCAGTAGAGCTGAATTATTCTAGAGTTTGTTCAAAATTATACTCTAAGAAACGTTCGGGAGAATTATATTGTCTGTAGATAATGCCACAAATTATATTCTTTTTGGATGCAAAACTTAATTCGACCCTAAGGGCTTGGAAGGCTTCATTAGAGGTTTTTTCTAAGATGGTGTAATGAAGTGTCTCATCAAGAAACATCCCAAAGCCACCGAAAGCGAGAGGCGTTGGGACAAATTCAGATTCATAACCAGGCAAGGAGAATTCGGCGCTTTCCGAGTTAGAATCATTAGTTTTAGTTTCTGTTATTCCTATGATTTTGAAGTTAAAACCCAGTTCGTCTAAAATAGAACTTTGAAGGTTTTCAAAGTTCTTATTGAGACTAATCAGATTATTATGAAATATCGAAGAGGAGTTGTCATCATTCTCAATCACATATTTGTTTTGCTCCTTGAAGCCTTGTGGCGAAAAATAGCGGCTATGAATGCGCTGATTATATAAATTATCAATTGTATTTACGTCACTGTTACATAAGGTATTTAACATAAATAAATGTAATTCATATAACCTAGTTAACTTATCGAGATATCTTTTCGAACGTATATTGCTTTGGAGTAAGTTATGAAAACGACCATGAAAGTCCGCTAAGTTTCCTTTACAATTAAAGTAACGCAGTTTTTTCAAAAGGTCTCTCAGGACCTTTTCATGTTGCTTATTTCTTTTTGTTTCTGTCATAAGAAAATCAAGGCAAAAATATAATTAACCATAGGAACAAACAACTATTGTAAGAGCTAAGATACTTAGCTGTTTAGATTGTTCTAGTCTAGACCTCACCGGTTTGTAATGACTGAAGATCTTGAAAAGTGTTCAGTTTATGAATGCGCGAGGTATCTGTCATCCTAAGGAATATTGAACCTTGCTTTGCCCAGCAGAATTTAAAGCCCTTGGCTTGTTGAACCTTTTTTGCCTCGGTTAACAGTACTTGGTTAAGCGAAGATAAGTGATCGTAAATACCAAGCCGTAACAATGACACTTCAACGCCGTAACCCAACTGACTCGGGGTGACTTTGGAAACCTCTTTCCGTGCTGCCATCACCCTTTCTTTGACTTGTCTCCTAACAAACTTGCAAATTATGGGGTTCGGTCGACTTGAAGCTTTACGAGCAGGAACGCGGTGGGCTATATCGATATCTTGCATGGAAACATCCTTCACACACATTGAGTGAAACAACTGTACACATAATTTAGCCGTCGACTCTGAGTTCTCTCGCTCCGCGAAAGTAGGCAAGCCAAAGATTTTGATGTTATACTGATAGCTGTAAGCCCGCATTTCATCAATAGCAAGGCGTAATTCATTGCATCTGTGGTCTAAACCATTCAATTTGGCCTTAATTGCCGGTAGCTGTTCCATGATTCCATCGTACTGACTACTTATAAAGTCAACAGATTTACTTTGCCCGGGTGAAAGTGGACACGATGAGGTGCCATCTTGCGATTTGCAAGTTACAAGCTTCGAAAGTTTCTCAACCTCCTCTTTGGTCGCTTGTAAATCGGTTCTCAACTTTTCGTTTTCTTTTCTAAGTTTATCCATCCGTTCTTCCGCTTTGCTTTAGGTTTTAGTAATAGAAATTTAACAGAGATTTACACCGAACTGGAGCTCAAAATAGCGCGTCCTACTCGCTCGAAGGCCATGCGCCATGCACTTTACCAAAATCGACCAGAAGACACGTAAAACTTGACAAATTTATAATTGGAACCCTATGACTACCCAATTTATTATGTAAACTTTGATTCGCGTCATCAGTATGGAATTTCTGCCGCTGAGTCGCAGACATTCCTCCGCGAGAAACGTTTCCAGCGGCGAAGAGCGACGAGAAACGGATGTTTTCGCAGGCTAGTTGCATTTTGACCTGGATCAAAAATAAATCGAATCGATTTTTTTGACCGTCGCCACGAAAAATTTTGATCTCTTTGACTTTCGCTGACATTCACTCTAAGCTGTTTTGTCCTTCGAATAAGTGTTGCATGACTGTTAAGAAGTTTAGCCGGAAAGCAACCCGATCGATTAAAAACTGCATCGCTGTTTCCCTTTTTACACGGGGGAATATAACAACATAAGTCATTTAATACAAGGTTCATGATTATTGCATCTGAATGCCCTCTGTGGTAGTGTTCAGGTGCACCCAACGGCAATTTTCGGAAAATATCTGTTCGAAAGACGATTTGAGATCTAGAATTTTCGGAACATTTGTTGTAAAATGTCTTGCTTGCCTGCCTCTGCTAGGATTTTCGAACATCTACATAATGGTATAATTACTCATTTTTAACGGATTTTTACCCTAAAAAAGGCCATCTAGAATTTTCGGGAGCCTTTTCCTGGCTGAAGTTTTCAAAAAGGTAAGTTTTGATCCCTAGAATTTTCGGATCACTAAACTTTCAGCTAGGAAATCCAAACAGATGAAAAGTTTTAAGGGGATAAAAATATGCCTAAATCTACCGTTTAAATACTAAAATACGTTTAACAATGCTATGTTAAGTGGTTATGAAATATATCCTTGTTGGGTGCCCCTGAGTCTTTAAGTATACCGTCAGCAACTTACCTCCCCAACAAATGGTTCTCAGGCGAATAGCTCCAGAGAGGCTATGGAAACTCTTCCCAAGAGTGGGTATAAAAACGATGACGTTTCCTGATTACTTAATACCGCTTTCAACGCTACTTCTTCATGAGAGATGACTTATGAACAGCTCGTTAGCCCTATAAGGCTGTATTTACGGACATTGTTGGTTTCTTTTCTTCCCAGAGGAATTGTTAGTGAAGACCTCTCTATCGAACAATGGCCGATATTTGATCAATCATCCGTTAAATAATCCTTCCCGCTTCGTGAAATTATTCAGAATATTTGGTTGAGATCCGTGGAAAACAGGAAATCAGAGAAATTGTAGTACAGTGTATATTGATCTACTAAATAAATCAATAAAAAATTCACTTATATTGCATTGTATCAGATTGTATAGCCTGTATAAAGCGAGGGATGATTATAAATTAAAGAGTTCTGCCTTGAAGAGAAAAAAGAACATACTTACGCCTTAATATTCATTGTAACTGTTGCTTTTTTTAGAGCAGAAGAACTCCAAATAACAAAAAAATAGAAAATCGCATCGGCTGAAAATAGCTAGCCTGCGTTGCAGCCGGCCTGCACGCCCGTCCAAACCATTTGTATAGTCCGTCTGGGGAATTAGTGCACAAAAGCTCGTTCTAATATCCTGCAGAGTCGCAATGACATATGTGAAAGTTTCTGATAGGCGGGTTTCTTACGAGCCTCACGATTGGCCTAATTTTTACGTGTGCGTGACGGTTGGGCACAGTGACATGTCAAAATTCACAGAACAGAGTTGGCAAGGATCGTTTACAGTAAATAATGAAATATCAGTTCGAACTTTAAAGCCGAGCAAAAAAATGCTTTGAGATAATTCCTTCAAGGCCAGAATTTGCTCGTAAATTTGTCGGCTGGTTCTCCAGCGTCTTCCAATCGATGTAGATGCACTACCGCGTATTCTGCAATCTAGCCGAAAGTTCTAGAGTCAAAACAAATCAGGAAATCATGATATTCACGATTAAAAAAAAAAAAAAAAAAAAAACATCTACACACATGTAGCTATTCAGGTCCAGGCATTTCGTTGAAAACAAAGAAACTAAGGTTGTTTAGCCGCAATACTGAAAGCCTAAAGCTTGAACAGAGGTAAAAGAAAATCATTTATGCATCTGTGATCAAATCATCTCAGAAAACATTAGTCAAAAAATAAACCACAGGAACTAATTACTCAATATGCATGGAACAGACCAGCTTCACGACATCTAAACGTAGCTAAATGTGAGACTCAAAGCGGCAAAAAAAAATTTGCTCGGTCAAATTGTAGAATACTCCATGCACTGTAGAATTTACGCAAAAAGAGAGTTAAAAAAACATCTGTTGTTCAAGCTACTCTACTGAAGTCACGTTTCACACTATCACGAGCTGAGTCACGTTTGGCCTGTCAACACTTAATTCAAATCGGACTAACCACAAACTACGTAAGAAACTAGCCAACCAATAACGCCGACATATGTTTTTGCCACTCTACAGGGTTCGAACACGATATTGTGAACTAATTCGCAAACGCTCTATATAGAAGGTTTAGAGCGTCTGCGACGCAGGCTAGAAATAGCAGGAATAATCTTAAAAAAAGCCAGATATTTTGGTCGCAACGAGACTCGAACCTGATTGACGAAATTGCACGCCATACCACCTCTGCGCAATTAATCCATGGATAGGCTGTAGTTACTTTAGCGCTATTTTTAAGAAGCGTATCTCGTGAGTGAGTACCTTTACCAATAAAAACTGTTCGCGACGTTTTATCCATATTAAGTAGGTTTTTCTCAGTCTTCTACATCATTGGACACGATTTACGTTCACTTGACGAACATGTTGTTTCCCCCAACTCTCCAGATGCAATATATGCCATATAATGCATGTGTATCACCGAGCCGCTAATTCAACCATATTTATCCTATAGAGAATACTTCATGGAAAGTGCTAGCGTACGGTATTTACACACGAGTTGTTGACGTATCAGAAATCGAACGAGTGAGCGCAGCGAAGGAGTGAGATTTCTGATACAAAAACAACGAGTGGGTAAATACCCTACGAAGCACTTTACATGTGGTATTGTGTTTATTGTATACATACTGAGACATTCATCATTTTGGTGGCCTTTTTATTTTAAATCTTTCCAAAATGCTTAAATTTGCCGCTACACACCACGAAATAACAGTGAAATAACAATGAAAACGAAGTATCAGCTTTTTAGTAGAAACGTTTGTTAAAAACATAAATGACGGTAAGGATATGAGGTAATCCAAGAACTACAAGTAATCTTAACTGTTTGTTCTGAATGTACTATTGAAAATGAGTGAGTTTAAGTAAAATGGCCGGTTTCAAAATAAGCTAAGCTTAAGCTTATAAATGGAAGACAAAGTAACTCCGACAAAAAGCACAGCATAAGCTTACGCCTTGTTCTGTTTTTCCCCTTCCGCTGTTGTTTCGGCTGCTCTCCACAGTTTTCTTTATCGACAGTGAAACAAACGAAACTATTCCACTCCATTTTTAAAATGCTTTTCACTTTTTTAACGAGAAAAAACTCTTTGAGAAAAACTTTTCTCCCCGAATGTGTGCGAAGCGGCGCTCAGAAAGCTGCAAGAAAAGGCGGGAATTTTGGCGCGAAACTCACACACCTCTGTGGCCTCTGATTGGACGTATCACTTTTCTCACAGTGAAAAAACATCGTTCGCGATTCTGATTGGACGTAGCATTTTTTTGACGTGTGAAAACCATAGATCACTCCTCTGATTGGCTAGAACTCATTTGCGTATCAAAATTTACAACACAACTTTTTGGTGAGCCAGTATGTATATAATAAACTGGATATGTGTACGGGCAGTATGCAGCTAAAGCCTGTCGTAGCTCAACAAACTTCTTATCCTTCAAAAACGTGCTCATCGATTAATTTAGTTTGCTCCTAGTTATGCTCATGCTATTCCTTTTTTCATGAAAGCAACGAATTATGATCTATTTTTTGTTAGGGGAAAAATGTGGATTTCATTGGTTTGTGGGTTTATTTCATGGCACGTGGACTACAAAATTATAAAATAAGATTTCATTCGTTTTGAATAAGTTTTTCTCCTTAGGAAATTTCTGTACGCATATCATACGTACCCTCGAAATTGCATTTTCTAGAAATAATCATTCAGCTTCGTCACTGAACGACTGGACCTTTCTCCTGTTCAAATACCAACCGTTTGTAGTTTTTATTTTGACCTTTTAAGGAATCCTGGGCAAAGGAAACTCGAAATCTTTTGCACAACTTTACTGCTGAATCTTTGTAAGTTTCCGAAATTCACTCATGATTTGTTTAGTGACCGACATTTAATTTTCAGTCATTTAATTTGACATATGAACTTTAAAGCTGAATTTATCCAGATTTGTTTTCAGTGTTCAGCTGATTTCATTCAGCCTTCTTTCCATTTGTTTTGTGATGTTGCAATAAGTTGATCAGTTAGTATAAACAGAGCACTGTTATCGCTGTTTTTCGATAGAGTTCATTGCGGATTCACATTGATTTACATTTTGGATGCACATGCATGTACGATTTTACGTCCACGAGCTGAAAATCCAAGTTTGAGTGCGGTCCTGTTCTCCAGTTGTAGCAGATCCTAGTACCGTTGAACAGTGACGAGTTCCAGTCTTGCTAGCCAAGCGAGTTGCAGAGTTAGTTTTCCCCTTGAATGTTCATACGCCGTAACGTGAAGTCGCTCGAATTCGCTGAGATAACACCCAGGCTTTTCAAAATAGATGTAACGTATTTAGTAAGTTTAACTATTCTTAGCGAGTAATTAGGCAGGGTATCAAATTTTGTTCTCTTTGTAAAATTATTACTACGGCTAGTATTTCTTATTTCTTTCTAGCTTAATCTAACAGCGGTTTGTGTGAAATAGTTCCTTTTGCCTTTTCATTTTACTTTAATTTATTACTTGTAAACTTTTTCATGTGGAAT